TATAGTTGATGCCCTAACCGGTTTGGCTCAGTGGATAGAGCATCGGCCTGCGGACTGAAGGGTCCCAGGTTCGATTCCGGTCAAGGGCATGTACCTTGGTTGCGGGCACATCCCCAGTAGGGGGTGTGCAGGAGGCGGCTGATTGATGTTTCTGGCTCTCTATCCCTCTCCCTTCCTCTCTGTAAAAAATCAATAAAATAAATATTTTAAAAATAAATAAATTATAGTTGACATGCAATATTATATTAGTTTCAGGTATACAACCTCATGATTAGACATTTATATAACATATGAAGTGATCACCCTGATAAATATAGTACCCATCTGTTACCATATATAGTTACTATAATATTATTGACTATGTTTCCTGTGCTCTACTTTACATCCTTTGACTATTCTGTAACTACCAATTTGTACTTCTAAATGCCTTCACCTTTGTCACCCATCCCCACAACCCTTCTCCCATCTGGTAACCATCAAAATGTTCTCTGTATCTATGAGTCTGTTCTGTTCTGCTTATTTGTTTTTTAGATTCCACATATATAAGTGAAATCATCTGGCTTTTTTAATTCTGTCTGACTTATTTAACTTGGCATAATACCTTCTAGGTCCATCCATTTCATCTATTTTTAAAAAATATATTTTTATTGCTTTCATAGAGGGAGAGAGACAGAAACATCAATGATGAGAGAAAATAATTGATCAGCTGCCTCCTACCAGGGATTGAGCCCACAACTCAGGCATGTGCCCTGACTGGGACTTGAACCATGACCTCCTAGTTCATAGGTCAACACTCAACCACTGATCCACACTGGATGGGCCATGCCATCTATTGATGGACACTTAGGTTGCTTCCATATCTTGGCTATTATAAGTAATGCTGCAATAAACATATGGAATATATGTGTGTGTGTGTGTGTGTGTGTGTATGTTTTTAGTTTTGATTTGAGAGAAAGACATTGACTTATTGTTTCACTTATTTATGCATTCATTAGTTGCTTCTTGTATGTGCCCTAATTGAGGATTGAACCCACCAAGGGCATATTGGGATAATGCTTTAACCAACTGAGCTACCCCACCAGGGCTCTATGTCTTTTCAATTTAATGTTTTGGGTTTCTTGGGAGAAATACCCAGAAGTGGAGTTGCTGGGTTCTTCTTTGTCTCTTGTTATAGCCTTTGCTTTAAAGTCAATTTTGTCTGATATTAAGTATTGCTACCCCAGCTTTTTGTTTTGTTTCCATTTTCAGAAAATATATTTTCCATCCCTTTACTTTCAGTTTGTGTGTGTCTTTCAATCTGAAGTAAGTCTCTTGTAGACAGCATATGTAAAAGTCTTATTTTATTATCCATTTAGTCACTGTATATGTTTTTTTTTTAATCCTGTCCCGAGGATATGTTTTTATTGATTTTAGAAAGAGAGGAATGGAGAGAGAGAGAGAGAGAGAGAGAGAGAGAGAGCGAGAGAGAGAGAGAGAGAGAGAGAAAGAGAAAGAAACATCAATGTGAGAGAGAAACACTGATTAGTTGTTTCCCCTATGTACCCCAGACCAGGGATTGAACTTGCAACTTTTTCGTGTATAGCATTACACTCCAACAAACTGAGCAACCCAGCCAAGGCTCACCATATATCTTGATTGGAGCATTTAATCTATTTGTATTTAAAGTACTTGTTGATAGATAATGTATTTATTGCCATTTTATTTTATTCATATTTTTTTGTCTTTTCTTCTTCTTAAAGAAGACACCTGAATGTTTATTGTAATATTGATTTGGTGGTGATGAACACCTTTAGCTTTTTCTTGTCTGGGAACCTCTTTATCTGTCCTTTGATTCTAAATAATAGCTTTGCTGTATAGAGTAATCTTGGTTGTAGATCCTTGCTTTTCATCACTTTGAATATTTTGGGCCAATCCCTCTGGCTTGCAAAGTTTCTGTTGAGAAATCAGTTAATAGTATTGTGGGAGCTCCCTTATAGGTTACTAACTACTTTTCTCTTGCTGCTTTTAAGATTCTCTCTTTGGCATTGGCCAAGTATCTCAGTTGATTAGAACACTGTCCTAATATGCCAAGGTTGTGGGTTTGATCCCAGTCAGGGCACATACAAGAATCAACTAATGAATGCATAAATAAGTGGAACAACAAATTGATCTCTGTCTCTCTCTCTCTCTCCCTCTCTCCCTCTCTCCCTCTCTTTCCCTCTCTCCCCCTCCCTCCCTTCTTCTCTCTCTCTAAAATCAATAAGTAATTTTTTTAAAAAAAAAGATTCTTTCTTTGTCTTTAACTTTTGACATTTTAATTATGATGTATTTTGGTATAGGCCTCTTTGGGTTAATTTACTTTTGGGACTTTCTGTGCTTCCTGGACTTCTATGTCTATTTTCTTTATCAGGTTAGGGAAGTTTTCCATCATTATTTTTTCAAATAGGTTTTCAGTTCCTTGCTGTCCCTCTTCTCCTTTCTGTACCCCCATAGTACGAATGTTGGTATGTTTGAAGTTGTCCCAAAGGCTCCATACACTATCCTCATTTTTTTGGATTCTTTTTGTTGTTTTGATTGGGTGTTTTCTGCTTCCTTATATTCCAAATCACTGATTTGATTCTTTGCTTCATCTACTCTACTGTTGATTCCCTGTAATTTATTCTTCATTTCAGTTAGTGTATCCTTCATTTCTGACTGGTCCCTTTTTTATAGTTTCCATGTCCTTATTTTATTTTTTTATCCTTACCTGAGGATATTTTTTCTTGATTTTAAAAGAGTGGGAAGGTAGAGGGAGAGAGAGAGAAACATCAATGTGAAAGAAGAACAGCAATCAGCTGCCTCCCACACGCACCCTGACCAGGAATAGAACCCCTGTACGGGTCAGTGCTGCAACCAACCGAGCCATACTGGCCAAAGCTCCATGTCCTTTTTTATTAATCCTCACCTGAGGATATTCTCTCCATTGATTTTTTAGAGAGAGTGGAGGGGAGAAAGAGAGAGAGACAGACATCAATGTAAGAGAGACACATCGATTGGTTGCCTCCTGCATATGCCCTGACCGGGGCCAAGGATCGAGCTATAAATGAGGTATATGCCCTTGACTGGGAATCAAACCTGCAATCATTCAGTCTACAGGATGACACTCTAAACACTGATCAACCAGCCAGGGCTCCATGTCCTTTTTTTATGCTGTTGGAATTCTAAGTTCCTTGAACATCCTTATAACCAGTGTTTTGAACTCTGCATCTTGTAGATTGCTTGTCTCCATTTTGTTTAGTTTTTTTTCCTGGAGTTTTGTTCTGTTCTTTATTTGGGACCTGTTTCTTTGTCCCTCATTTTGATAGCCTCCCTGTGTTTGTTTCTATGTATCAGGTAGAGCTGCTATGTCTCCCAGTCTTGGTAGAGTGTGCTTATGTAGTAGGTATCTAGTAGGGCCCAATGGCACAGTGTTCCTGTTCACCTGAGCTGGGCATTCCAGGTGCACCCCTTGTGTGGGCTGTGTGCACTATTCTGTTGTAATTGAGCCTTGATTGCTGTTGGCAGGGCACTGGGAGGGATTGATCCCCCCGCCGCCCCTAGGCTACTCGGCTGCGAGAACCAGCTATAAGTACAGCAGAGGAGCTGCTGTGCAGTGGCCAACCCCACAGAACAGGACTCACTTCAATGGGGCTTTGGTGCTTGCTGAACCCACCCTTTAAGTGTGTCACTTGTGAAGGTAGTTGGGTTATAATCCAGCGTGGTATGAAGCTGTCCACCAGGTATGCTGTCTCTGGGGCCTCCTGGAAGGTGCATGGTCAGCCACAGCCTGTGCCCTACCTGGGTCCACTGACATGAGCTACTGCAGATGGCTGCTACTTGTGCTGGGCTTGGATGTACCTGAGAGAGGCCAAGCTGCAAACCAAGTCTGGCTGTCGTTAGTGTTGGGCCTGGGACCACTTAGCAAGAGATGCAGGATACAAAGAGGCTAGGTGCTGCTTGTTTGAGATATTTTAGGAAAGTCCAAAGCATGAGGCAAGAAAGCAAAGCCACTGGAAAAGGCTTTGGTGGGCCTGAAAGTTGGGAAGGGTGGGGTCTCAAGGAATCACCAGGACAGAGCAAACATTGTTAGTCAGCTTGATGGAGACTCAGATATGGCACCCACTTGCTGGCTCTGTGTGGCAAGATTTCAGCAAGGGAACAATGGCCTCTGCCACCACTTCTGTCTGGGAGAAAGCTGTGGATGTATGAAGTTCCAGCTCTTGCCCTGATGCCAGAGAATTTATTTTCTCCCCTTATGTCCCTGATGCCTTTTGAGCTGCTGCCCCAGTGCTGAAACTCTGAGTGAGTGAGTCTGAGTAAGTCCATTTGTAGGCCCTTTAAGAGGAACCCCTGGGTCTTCAGCACCCTTTCTCTCACTCAGCCACAACCCCTGCTTGCTTTTACAGCCAGGAGTTATGGTACCTTTTCTTCCTGGCACTGGAACCCTGGGTTTGGGGGCTTGGTGTGGGACTGGATCCCTCGCTCCTCAGGGGGGAACTCTGCAGCCAAGGTATCCCTCCCAATTTTTAACTGCCACACGTGGGTGTGGGACTAGCCCTGTGGTCGGCAAACTGCGGCTCTCGAGCCACACGCGGCTCTTTGGCCCCTTGAGTGTGGCTCTTCCTAAGCCTTAGGAGTACCCTAATTAAGTTAATAACAATGTACCTACCTCTATAGTTTAAGTTTAAAAAATTTGGCTCTCAAAAGAAATTTCAATCATTGTACTGTTGATACTTGGTTCTGTTGAGTTTGCCGACCACTGGACTAGCCCATTCAGTGTCTCTGCCTCTCCTACCAGTCTCGATGTGGCTTCTTCTGTGTATTTTTAGTTGTAGGACTTCTGTTCAGCTAGATTTCAGGTGGTTCTGAATGATGGTTGTTCTGTAGTTTAGTTGTAATTTTGATGTGGTTGTAGGAAGTTCCAAGTACCATGTTTAGCTATTCCATCATCTTGACTGGCCCACCAGTTTTCTGATTCTTATAACTATCTTCTTTAAATTCAGCTCTGATGAACATACACCAGTAGAGGATGAAGAGCCAAAGAAAAGCACCACTTCAGCTTCTACTTCAGAAGGTATTATTTTAAATGCAGAGCTTTTTTATTTAGAAGTTTAAAAATAAGTTTATAAATAGTTGAACATTAGGCTTTACTTTTATTCAAATTGTCTATTACATTCCTTTTCAGTATTTCAAATACAGTAAAATTGATATTCAGTAATACTTCTTTAGAAGTTAGTTTTTATTTGTATTTTATGTAGAAGAAAAGAAGAAGAAGAAGAAGTCTAGTCATTCAAAAGAAAGGTCCAAGAAAAGGAGAAAGAAAAAATCATCTAAAAGAAAACACAAGAAATATTCTGATGATAGCGACAGTGACTCTGATTCTGAAACAGACTCCAGTGGTAAGAAAGTCAACATCATTCTGCAAAGCCTCACTTCAAAACTACTTTTACTTCTTAAAGTTTATTTCAGAAGTAGGTTCTTAAAACAATAATAATAGTCAGGAGTTTTTTAACACTTAGTGACTTTGTGCCCGGCACCCTGCTAAGTGCTTGCTAATTAATCCACACAGTAACTGTAGGGTACATCTTAGAGATGGGGAAAGAGAGGCACAGAGCAGCTTAAAGTACCACCCTCAAGGTCACACATTTTGGATTCAAACCTAAGCAGTGTGACTCTAGATTGTTTGTGTGTAGTTATACAAGGCCCGTGGCACTGAACCAAGTTGGGGTTGGGCTGCAAGGCGTGTGATGCCAAACCAAGCCATACAGGGCTGCATCAGCCCAGTGGAGCAGCTCTTTTTGGTAATTCTCACACTCAGTGGGAACCTTTGTGCAATTTTCAAAAGGTTATACATAAAGGTCCCCCTTCAGGCTGGCAGCTGATTTAAGGAAGGAAGATACCTCTGTGGGATGACACATCAAAAAGCCACCTTTTGTTGTGCCCAGTGCTGGCTGATGATTGACAGAGGGTGCCTCCTCTAAGGAGACATTACACAAAGGTGCCCCTTCCTCTCATGTTACCTGGGTTTCCTGGCCTCCATTGTCACTTTTCTTCCTCATTGTTGGAAGACTGGACTTTCTTAAAGCACAAATCTGAACATCTCAGTCCCCTACTTAAAATGCTTCATTTAGTAGCTCTTCATGGCCTTCAGGGTAAAGTTCAGACCTTGATTAATCCACTCTAATCACATATACTCTCTCACTTTATCTCAGAGCATCCTCTGTAGCTTGAGAACTACTTTCTGTCTCCTCAATATCCCATGTTCTTTCTCTTGATTTTGTTACTTGATACAGATAGTCTGTCTGCCTGCAATGCCAGTCTCTCCCCGCATGCGGCTTGGCTTACTCATTTCAGCAATTGGCATGCATTACTTTTGTAATAAAACTGATTTTATTGTATTTTTTTTCGTTAAAAACTGATCTTAAAAAGAAGTAGCTTAAGAGTCACCTGTGCCTGGCCAACAATTCCTCAACCACCCTCTCCATATCAGCCTGATTTTGAGACGCCTGTAGGCCCAGAGTGCCCCAGGCCTCCCCCTATCACTCCAGATTCTGTTTATCTCTTCACCTCTTTCACTTCCATTAGACTGAGCTCCTGGAAAACATCCCCCCCCCCAAAAAACACAAGTACCATGTTTTGTGTTTTCTCTCTTTCCATCATGAAGATACCTAAACATTCAGAAAGGTAAAGAGAATAGTATAAAACCATATACATATCACCTAGATTTTAACAGTTGTTAGTATTTTGAAATATTTGCTTCAAATATGTTTTTTCTGAGATAGTCTATGTAAATTACAAATATCACACTGTTACCCCAAGGATTTCTGTATACATCTCTTTTGTGACATTTTCCTATTTAATCACAATATTGTTATTTCATGTAATAAAAATAATAATATCCCATATCACCAAATACTTAGTGTGACTTTAACTTAAATGTCCCCAGTGCCTAGCACACTTCCTGACAAGTAGCAATAAATGAATTAATTAATTCTGTGTAACAACAAATAGAACAGCAATGGGATATTTATCTACTCAAAAGTATCGGGGGTATAGAGTTAAATTTTTTAAAAATTTCTAATGTGCTTTAATTCGCAGATGAAGACACAAAAAGGAGATCAAAGAAAGCCAAGAAAAAGGAAAAGAAGAAGAAACGCAGATCGTCAGTTTTTTTTCTTTAATTTTTATTATGAAAAAGTTCAAATATATATAAAATTACATAAAACAGTAAAATGATCCCCCATGTAACTCTTGCCCAGCTTGCACAATTACCAACTCATGGGCAGTCTCCACTGCCCCCCCCCATTATTTCGATACCAATCCCAGATATCATTCCATCCATAAACCACCATGTTTTTCTAAAAGATAGGCATTCTTTTTTTTAAAAAAAAAAAAACCTCATAACTACAGTACTAAAAATATTTAACAATAATCTCAATTCTTGGTAGTTCTTTGTACAGTATATTTAAATCAGGCTCCAAGTAATGTCATAAATTGCCATTGATTTATATGTCTCTTACATCTCTATCCTCTCCTGTTTTGTTCTTGCAAATTGTTGAAGAAACCAAATTGTTCGTCCTGTAGAATTTCCTGCAGTATGGATTTTGTTGATTGTATTATCATGTCCTTTTAACATGTTCTGTCCTCTGTATTTATAAGAGAAACCTACCCTCATCAACTATTTGGTAACCCTGAAGTACAGTTTATATAGAAAGGACAGGATAATTGCTTACTTTTTAAAAATTCTTTATTGTTGAAAGTATTACCTGTCTCCTTTTTCCCCCATTGACCTCTCCTGACCTCTCCCAGTCCACTCCTGCCCCCAGCCCAGGCCCTCACACCCCTACTGTCTGTGTCCACTGGTTAAGTTTATATGCATGCATATAAGTCCTTTGGTTGATCTCTTACCCCCCAGTTGCTTACCTTTTTTGTTTTATGAGTTTTTAAAATAATGAGCTGGGTTATTTTAACATCATTATGAACCCAAGTATTGATACATGTTTAATGTTCTTTAATCTAATACACTTGAAATTATTGCTGCTGCTCAAATTGGTAGAAGCTGTTTTTTAAACTGTTTTATTTTTGTTATCTTTCTATATCATGAGAATTTTATTTCATTTTTCCCTTTAGGGATCTTTTTTTTATAGTGAAACATAATTTGGTTAAATAAGTTAGAAGATTTTTAAATTAAAATTCTCTAAAAAGTTTGAATAAGCTGAGAATTCAAATAATTTTAATCAGTCTTTTCATTGCCTTGAAAAAATAATATACCCTTTAAGATGGAAATATTAAGTCAATTTGTATCAAATTATAATAATTACAGGAAAAAATACAAGAAAAAGAAGTCTAAGAAGAGCAGAAAAGATTCCAGTGACTCAAGCTCTAAAGATTCCCAAGAAGAGTTTCTGGAGAATCCCTGGAAGGATAGATCAAGTAGGTTCTTCTGATAGACTTTGACTCAGAACAGATAAAACATTAAATTAACCAATTTGTCAAAATGTGAATTATTTTTCTGAACATCTTTCATGCAGAGCCTGAAGAACCCTCAGATTTAATTGGCCCAGAGGCTCCAAAAACACTTGCCTCTCAAGATGATAAACCTCTGAAGTAAGTTGACAGTGCATTTACAAAGTAGCTTCCCAAAAGTAGGGCCCTAACTTACCTTTCCAAGCTTACCTCCCTCTGTTCCCTCATTTATACCCCAGGTTCCAACTGAGCCGAACTAAATTTTCCTGTGTTTACTGTGCACTTTCCCACATTGTGCCTTGTTTCCCTTATTTCTTCCTCCAACATGCTTTTCCTATTTTCCTCAGCCCTGTTTTCTTCATTACCTTAAATTTCTTCCTGTTAAAATCCTTACCATCCATCAAAGCCCATTTGAATAGGAGGGGCATGTGCTGATTCCCAATACCTCTACAAGTAGGTGTGGTTCCTACCCCTCTTTCTTCCTTTAATCCTCATAGAATTTTCTATTTCTTTTGTGATATGTATTATATATTCTACATTGTATTTCAGTTATATTCTTATTAGTATGTAAATTCTACAAGATCAGAGATTATTTTTATTTAATAGGTATTTAAGAAGTGTTCAATGAATTGAATGAAGGGATGATACGTTTTAAAGTCCCCTTGAATGAAAGGTAATAGATAATTGTTACTGTGTTATTGGTTAGAAGGCTAAACAGTATATTAAATTTGAGCTATATTATTTCTTTACTTTTTTTTAAGGAAAAGAAATTTACTGAAAGAAGCAGTAAAAGCAGTACCTGTAGGGATAAATTTATCCATAATTATAAAATATGAATATATACATACTAACACCAGTTCTTTTGTTCTTCCAAAATATCTCTGCACTTCTGGGTTAGTTACATAGGTTACTAACTAAATTAATTAATATTGGGCTTCCTAGCATGCTTCCACTCAGCAATTGTTATTCCTAATGTTTGCTGAGAGTAAATGAATTTTTGTGTTCTCTTTAGATGATGAGGTTTTTATAATGAACCTTTTCTGAATTCTGAATTACTTTGTAGCTATGGCCATGCTCTGTTACCTGGTGAAGGTGCAGCTATGGCTGAATATGTAAAAGCTGGAAAACGTATCCCACGAAGAGGTGAAATTGGTTTGACAAGTGAAGAAATTGCATCATTTGAATGCTCGGGTTATGTAATGAGTGGTAGCAGGTACGTTGGCATTGGAGTCAATTTTTATGATGAAATCATTTCCTTTCTCACTACCAGGTTTATATTTGGTGATTGATTTTCATTAAGTGATCATTCCTAATGAAAAGTAAAGTATTGTTTTAATACTGGATTTATTAATATAAATATAGTTGTCTAAAATTCTAAGTATTTATGCACCTGAGCTTCAAACTCATCTGTGTCAAAGAATCAGTTTTTCCAGTATCCTTTCTTATTTCATATTTTGGTACAGATAGATTATCCTCTGGAGGATATAGTTAAATTCAGCTATTTATCACTGCCTCATGAGGAAAGCATTTTCATAAAACAATGTTTCCTGGTTTCTAAGTTTGCCTCTGTGGACTCAGAAAACATGGACTCTCTAGTTCTCTGTGGCCTCTGAGAATGAAGAGCAGAAAAGGATTATGACAGACATCAGGTTCAGCATGGGGGAATGAATATAAAATTAGGGAAGAGAAAGCAAAGTACCAGGAAGAACAAGGAGAATGAAAAGGGCATCTCTACCAAGATCAAACTGAAGTTTGGATTTTCAAAAACTTTATAAACTTCTAAAGGTAGATACGTATTTTAAAATAAAATTGAAGGCAAACATTTGCAGTACCCCTGAAGCACTTCCAGAATCTTATAATTCTGAGACCCAACATTTAAGAATATTATATCTGAGGATCAGCACAATAAGATAAAAAGAAATTGGAGGCATAAGGACTGGAAATGAAGATATAACACAGTCACTTTTTGTGAATGATACGGATTGTTTATATAGAAATCCTAAAGAACCTAGAGATAAATTATAAATAATAAGAGGGTTTAACAAATAGTTGTATATAAGATTAATACACAAAAATCAATTGCATTTCTATGCACCATCAACAAGCAACTAGAAAATGTAATTAAATAAAAAGTAAACATTTGTAATAGTATCAGAGAATATGAAGTATTTAGGAATAAATATTTTTTAAATATGTTTTTATTGATTTTAGAGGGAGAGGGATAGATAAAAACATCGATGAGAAAGAGACATCTATCGGCTGCCTGCATGCCCCTACTGGGGTTCAAGCCCGCAACATGAGCTTGTGCCCTGACTGGGAATGGAACCAAGGACCTCTTGGTTCATGGGTCGATATTCAACCATCGACCCGGCAGGAATAAATCTCAATAAAAAATGTCTAGGACCTCTACAGGGAAAACTATAAAACATTATTAAGAGACATTTAAAAATAAATGAAGAGATACCATGTTCATGGACAGAAAGGCAATATTGTAAAGTTATCAGTTCTTCCCAAATTGATCTGTAGATTCAGTAAAGTTCTCATCAAAATCACAACAGAGTTTTCCGTGAAACTTCGTAAGTTGGTTTTAAAATGTATTTGTTAGACTAGAGGGCCAAGAATAGCCTGGTCACTGCTGAAGAAGAGGGGGAAGATGAAACTTGCTCTACCAGATATGAGGACTTATTATGAAGCTTACAGCACTTTCAAAAGTGTTGGGGAACAAATGAATTGTTCACTGGAATAAAATACAGAGTCCAGGGACAGAGTCATGCATGTATGGAACTTAGGTATATGAAAGAGATAGCCTATAGGATCACTGGGGAAAGAAGGAACTATTCAGTAAATGGTTCAGGAAAAAAATGGTTATGTGTAGGGGAAAAGATGAAAGTAGAACCCTATATTACCATATTTAAAAATCAGTACAGCTAGGTTAAGAACTTAAATGTCAAAAACAACTTTAACACTCAGTATAAAATATGAGCAGATATCTAGTAGAACTTGGGGTGGAGGAAGTGTTTTTTAAAGGGCAAAAATACGGAATAACCATAAGATAAAATATTGATAAATCTGCCTAGGTTAAAAATACGAACTTTTGTTCATCAAAAGGTATCTTAAAATAAGTAAAAAGACAAGTTCCAAGCTGAGGTAAGAAAGAAGCAATAAAAATATTTTTTTTTTAAAAAAAGAAAGTGGGAAAATGATACAAAGAGGCATTTGTCAGAAGAAGAAATATATATGACCTATAAATACATAAAAAGATGATCATGCCTGACCTGTGTGGCTCAGTGGTTAAGTGAGTGTCCACCTATGAATCAGGACGTCATGGGTTCAATTCCCAGTCAGGGCACATGCCCGGGTTGATGTTTCTACTTCTCTCTCCCTCTCCCTTTCTCTCTGAAATCAATTTAAAATATATATATATTTTAAAGATGGTGGATGTGGAGAGAGCAGAGTGCCTGAATAATGGCTCCTCTGTGTATAACACATCCAACAGCAACTTGGGCTTACTCCTCACAGGTGGCAGGATACCATGACCTTCCTGTGACATTACGCCCTATATATATATCTCTATACTAATAAAAGGGTAATGTGCTAATTAGACCAGGAGACCTTCCGGACGTCCTTCTGGACAAAGCCTTGGTGGTGGGGCCAAGGCAGAGGCGGTTAGGGGCGATCAGGCCAGGAGGGGAGGGCAGTTAGGGTTGATCAGGCTGGTGGGAGGGGGCAGTTGGGGTGAGCAGGCCAGCAGGGGGAGGCAGTTGGGGGCGAGCAGGCCAGCAGGGGGGGGCAGTTGGGGCGAGCAGCCGTCAGGGGGAGCAGTTGGGGGCGAGCAGGCTGGCAGGCAGAGTGGTTAGGGGCGATCAGGCAGGCAGGCAGGTGAGCGGTTAAGAGCCAGTGGTCCTGGATTGTGAGAGGGCCTAAACCGGCAGTTGGACATCCCCCAAGGGGTCCCAGATTGGAGAGGGTGCAGGCTGGGCTGAGGAACAACCCCCCCCCATGCTCAAATTTTGTGCACCAGGCCACTAGTGTGTGTGTGTGTTTGTGTGTGTATGTATGTATGTGTGTGTGTGTATATATATATAAAAGATGTTCATTATCATTGGAAATGGAAATGAAGAACACACTGAAATACCATTTTGCTTGCATTTGATAAACAAAAGTTCATAGTTCTAACAATACCAAGCATTTGAGAAGATGTGGATCTACAGGATCTCTTAAATATTACCAGTGGTGGTGTAAATGGGTATAACCACCTTGGAAAACAGTCTGACATTATATTGGAAAGTTAAGCATTCGTATACTTTTATGACCCAGCAACTCCATACCTAGATACCCAAGAGAACACTCTTTCCCATGTACTAGGAGACATTTACATAGATGTTTATTACAGCATCATTCACATAGCACTTTCTGTTCCAGTTAAATTACTCACTGTACCCGGAGCAACCTAAATACATTGCCATCTCCTTGACTCTCCATCTTGCCACTCCCCCACTGCCAGGGTTCTTGTTCCAGCATTAAGAAGGGTTCAGCAATCTGGAGAAAGGCTGTGTCTAACTTAATAAAGAGTCCAGAGACAAAATAAAATTTTGAAAGGCATTTGGGGGTCAGAGGAGCCTAGCTTAAGAAACTAAGATCTCCTCGTCTCAGGACCCAATACTTTTTATTAACACAAATTTTCCTGAGGCGAGGTAGAAATATACACTTCAAAGGGTAGGGTTTCGTATACAGAGTCCATTGTCAGAATGGGGAGAATTAGCCTATGGCTGTTCAGGTGTTTGGCCAGTAGGAGGCAATAACATGTAGATTAAGATATCCTGAGCTGTCTGGCAGCAAGCAATCAACCCTTTTCAGGTTTGGAGAAATACCATCAGCCATTCCCAACAGGTGACAACATATGTGACTCAGCCCTTGTTGAGTCCCCAAGTTCCATCAACCTTTTGATGAAACTCTGGCAATTATGACATGCTGGAATTGGCTTCTGGCACCCTACTTTCACACTAACCTGAAATCTCACCTAGTTTTCTCTATTTTTCTAGATAGCTCAAGCTTCATCTTGAACTGACTGTATAGGATTGGGTACATATACATAAAAGAGGCAGGGTTTCATGAAGTTTTCCTTCTAAATAAACAACCTTTTGAATATGTAATAGTTTCCCTCTGCCCCTGCCTCTATACTTTCCTGATTTAGATCTTGTGCTATACCCCTTCTTTATTTTCTTTGAGCTGCTAAAGGAGTTAAATTCAATTGTAGATTTAGACTTGGTTCTTTTGGTTGTATGATAAATTTGAACCTTGAAGAAGTTCCACCTAATTGATGACAGCTTACATCTTTCATCTATCCTATTATTAATTCCGCAAAAGCAAATTCCACATATCACCTAGGAAGTTTAATATAATTTGCCTGTTTCTGGTTTGTGGGGAAGCATGAGACTTGGTTGGAAGGTCTGGAAGGAGGAAGCTCTGAAAGGTCGGAGGTCTCTGGGGGACCTTGAAGAAGGCGGCAGCCCCTGCCTTGACTTTTCCAAACAAGTCTGAGCCCCCAGGTGTTTACTTAGACATGTCCTTGCTTAAAGGACGCATGTGTTTCCTCAAGGATAGTATCTAATAGTTAATTTTAGTTCAAGCTGTTGTTACAATAAAAGCCAAAGGAGACAGGTGAACAGGGCTATTTGCTCCTAAAGCAAACTAATCCCTTGGCCTCTTTCACAGAAACGTGTGTCAAAGCAATCTGTTCATCCGTCGCTCAGGGTCTGCTGGTCAGCCCCAGCACTGGTTGTTTTACTGGAAACAGCAGAACTAGACTTATGCTCTTAGTATTTGAAATTAATGACATTCACAATGTTGACAGGACATCAGAGATCATTAATTGAATACTAGAAATAAATCAAAGGACATGGCAGATAAAATGATCTTTTGAAAATATAACCCATTACAAAAATAGTTTCTATTTGTCAGATTTTTAAGTAAATCACTCTGTATTAAGAAAGGATTAGTGCCTGGTCTGTGTGGCTCAGTGGTTGAGTGTCAACCTATGAACCAGGAGGTCACAGTTTGATTGTGGTAAGGGCACATGTGGAGTTGCAGGCTTGGCCCCTAGTAGGGGGGTGTGCAGGAGGCAACCAAAAAATGATTCTCTCAGAATTGATGTTTCTATCTCCCTCTCCTTTCCTCTCTGAAATCAATAAAAATATATTTTAAAAAAGAAAGAAAGGACTGCCGAAACCGGTTTGGCTCAGTGGATAGAGCGTCGGCCTGCGGACTGAAAGGTCCCAGGTTCGATTCCGGTCAAGAGCATGTACCTTGGTTGCGGGCATATCCCCAATAGGAGATGTGCAGGAGGCAGCTGATCAATATTTCTCTCATCGATGTTTCTGGCTCTCTATCTCTCTCCCTTTCTCTCTATAAAAAATCAATAAAATATATTTTAAAAAAAAGAAAGAAAGGATTAATGAGAAATGATGAGAATAACTATGAGAATAATTACTGAGAAATTAAACCAAAAATGAAATTATCTCCAGGCATCGCCGAATGGAGGCTGTGCGGCTACGGAAAGAGAACCAGATCTATAGTGCTGATGAGAAGAGAGCTCTTGCATCCTTTAACCAAGAAGAAAGACGAAAGAGAGAAAACAAGATTCTGGCCAGTTTTCGAGAGATGGTATATAGAAAAACTAAAGGGAAAGATGACAAATAAGGATTTTCAGATTGTTCAGCAGACATTTTCAACAAAAAGTCTGGGTTCCATATATACATACAAAAAGGTTATTATGATCTGGAAATCTTTACAGTGCTACTGTGCCTTCTATTTAATTCTTTCAGTCCTTCAATAAAAAGCTGCTTATTGATATATAACTTTGGTATATTTTGGATTGCCCATAAAACTTTCTGGTTGAAAAATCCAAATTGTGAATGAAATCCTACTATATTTGGGGGGGTGACATTGAGAGAAGATGTCAGTGAGATGAAAAATAAGTTGCACTGTCTCACACCATGGGACAGTGCTACTCTTAGCTCTACATGACACTCACCCCCCCCAAGTGAACTTGTGGGAAATTATTATTCCTCTATGTTGAATGTGTTATAAATGGATTGATAGAACCACACAGGAGGCCAGTTTTGTTAACAAAATTAAGGCATTGCTGAAAAAAAGCAAATCTGGAATTTGAAGATTGGCTTTATTGTACAATATATAATCTGCCTTGAACACAATGTATTTTGATTTTAGTCCCTACCCTCACCCTAAAACCCACAAACAAACCAAAAAGCAAATTAACCCACAGACTTATTAAATTGAAAATGTGAACATTAGTTTTAAAATTCTTAACAGGTTATTAAAAGTGTTTTTTCCAAATATAAAATATCGGAAAGTCTACTGTTGTGCCAATGTAAGTACATTATTTTCATCTAAGCTGTACTTGGATCATAATTTGAATACTAGAAATGAATAGGAGTCAACTGTGGTCAGGCATTTAATACGGAAAAAATATGAGTCATTACTTTAACTTGGTTGTTTTATAAGGATGAAGCTAAAATTTTATTCAACATTTTTTGCCTGTCCTTTATGTAATTTTTTGTCTATCCTTTACATGAACCTTTCAGTTTATTTTTTACATCAGTCATCAGTTTAATCTTTAATTTTATATAGAACCCCCTCAATTTATCACTTTTTTATGGCTACTATTGACTTTTACTAGTATGTTTTGAAGAAATGGAAAATTCTGGGACTGTGAGATTACAATCTTTTTCCTTCCCTATTTTGTTCAATTTTAGTCACTAGGTCACAAGAGTGAAGCAGGAGGGGACAGTGGAAGCTCAGGTTGTTTTTGTTAAGATTGTTTTGAGCTGCATTATTATGTGCCTAGGATAAATTTAAATTACCTGGATGGTAAGGAAATTCTGACTCTGCTGTTATAAAATGCCCTCTCCTCTCTCTTTAGAATAAAGTGAGGTTTTTTTTCAAAGTTTTCAAATAAGGCAGTCAGATTTCTTTTTTTTTTCCTTAAGGCAGTTAGATTTCAAAGCATAGCTCAGAAGCTTTACTATTTTAGCATGTTTTAGGAAAATGTCTACCTTTAACCCATAACTAATGGACTGAACAGCCACTTGGCATGTAGCAACATTTATGACCCCTGAATTTGAAGTTATTTATATTTATCATCATTGCTGCCTAGTCTAAGAAATCTATTTTTTCCAAAAGTTAAAAGGAAACTAGATCCCAAATTTGGGAGTCCTAATCTATCTACTTCCCTGTATAATAAAACCTAAACTTATAATCCCCATTTAAAATTTTTGTTCTCTGAGAACATTATTTTTTATTACTGGTTCCTAGAGACTGAATGAGTTTGTTCTCTTATTTTCAGTAGGCAAGATAGTTCAAATGCAACAATTTTGTGATATATGATACTGTGCATTTTCATTGTATTCTTCTGCCTCCTCCAACAAATGTTTGTTGAGTAAATGGAAAAAAATATGTTAATTTATTTCAAAACTTTACCATTTCTTTCATCAGGGTTTCTTCAGGAAAGATGTGCCAAGAATAGTTTCGGTAGCATATTTTCTGGGAAAGGGGAAGGAAGAATAAAAATCTAAAAGTATTTTCTTTTTAGCTCATGAGAGTTACTGCTTCAAACTATGTGTAGTCACCTGAGCCATAAGTGTAATAGGCAGGCTTTTTTTAAAAATACTTTACTTTTTGTTCTCCAAGGAAGACTTTTCTAGTTTCCCACCTCCTCCCCTGTTGCTCTAAGATTTTTCCCTCCTTTTTTATTTATTGTACAAATGTAACAGTTAAAAGAAGAAAAATTACCCACAGTCTTACCACATCAATTGTCTTTAGGGTTCTGTGTTTACTTCCAGTGCTTGTCTATGTAAATATGTATTCTGATGTACCTATAAGTAATCACTTGTAATTTGTCTTTGGTGTTTTAAAATGTTGTAGCCAGGAAAGACAGCCTCATAGGGTTGGTAGGAACAAGTGATAATCTGGTGTGAGGATGGGAAGAAGACAAAAAATAAGTGAGGGTGGAGACTGAGCCTTCCATGTTTCATTGCCCCAATTCCTGCTGCCATCATTTCAATGCTGTGTTGTGGCAGGCAGCATGCCCAGTTTTAGAATTTCAGAATGTGTTTAACAATGATGCTTCACTCACTGTAAATGAAGGGGTCTGTGAGTAGAGAAACCCTTCAGACTGGTTATAGTATGAGACGTAGAACTGTTGCCATTTTTCTGTTCCCCAGTTGTGCCCATAAAGAGATGTATCTGGCCCTGGCTAGTGTGGATGCAGAGGTTAGAGCATCGGCCTGCGCACCAAAGGGTGCAGGTTTGATTCCTAGTCAAGGGCACGTACCTGGGTTCGTTTGTTCTCTCTCTCTCTCTCTCTCTCTTTCTCTCTCTCTCTCTTCTGTCCCTTCCTCCACTCTCTCTAAAAATCAATGGGATAAATATCCTTGGGTTTGGATTAACAAAAACAAACAAAAAAGAGTTGTGTCTGGGCTGGACACTTAGCTCAAATGGGGGAATAGGCAGTCAAGTACCAATTTCAGTTGGTCTGACAGGTGAATTTTAGCAACTCTCTAAACTCAACTTTTATACTTGTAAGACTCTGAGTGATGCAGATAGTGATGGGAAAATCCTTTTAGAAAATAGAAAACAACTTACTGGTTATTCTGTTAGCATGATGGAAGTTGCCAAATGGAAAATGAGTGAATGCAAAAAAAAAAAATACAGTTGGATTGTGTGTCACCGGTTTATTATTCAATAAATATGTTGTGGTTTGATGTGCCATATGGTGTTTTTTAATACATTCTGATTAGAAATCCAGTCATAAAACATTCTGTAAGAGTCAGACACAATTGAATTAGAAGGGAAATGACTTCATTATATTATGTTTGGCCACAACCATTTCCTTCACCCAGTTTTCTCGAAAGCGAGTCATTCCTGGTCTGCAGAGGAAGAAAAACAAACATACCAAAAGCTTTTTAAAATAAAAGGAACCATTGAGCCAAAGATTGATTCCCTGTTTACTCTGTTTCATTCCTGGTGAGCAAAAAGCCTTTGGGAGGGGGGGGTCTAAGACTGTATCTATTCCTTAGGCCCAGTCAATACAAGAATTAATGAGCTTACATATATTCTTTAAAAGAGCTGCTATACAAATAAAAGAGGTTATTATATATGAGTTAATTCAATGTAATTGTGAATTTTCCTATAAAAACAATAGACATGACCCACTTTGCCACCACCCTACTCCAACTAATCCTCAAGTTTATAATCACTGAAAAACAAGATATTAAATAGCAAACAAAAACAATTTTCTAGAACAGTAGCAGTGTCTTACTTTCAGTCCATCCTAATGGGATAGGTGGTCCAAACGAGAAAGGTGACCATTACGTGAATTATCTGTTGCTGTGGGCCTCCTGGATTCCTGGGGTATAATGACCTTTATCTATCACCCATTTCAAATAAGTCTCCAAATGTTCATTACCTGTGAACCAGTGACTGGCCTTCAAACATATAAGAGATGTCAAGTGGTGCATCCTAAGAGAGAAAAAGACAGTTGTCAGCCTAGACCCGTGGTCGGCAAACTGCGGCTCACGAGCCACATGCGGCTCTTTGGCCCCTTGAGTGTGGCTCTTCCTAAGCCTTAGGAGTACCCTAATTAAGTTAATAACAATGTACCTACCTATATAGTTTAAGTTTAAAAAATTTGGCTCTCAAAAGAAATTTCAATCGTTGTACTGTTGATATTTGGCTCTGTTGACTAATGAGTTTGCCGACCACTGGCCTAGACCAGTGATGGCGAACCTTTTGAGCTCGGCATGTCAGCATTTTGAAAAACCCTAACTTAACTCTGGTACCGTGTCACATATAGAAATTTTTTGATATTTGCAACCATAGTAAAACAAAGACTTATATTTTTGATATTTATTTTATATATTTAAATGCCATTTAACAAAGAAAAATCAACCAAAAAAATGAGTTCGTGTGTCACCTCTGACACACGTGTCATAGGTTCGCCATCACTGGCCTAGATCAATCATACCAACTCATGATTCTTTCCATCTCTATACTTTTCCATATATATAATCTTAAATTTCTAGACTTCATCTCCCTTGTAAATTGGGAGTCTGTAGGTTGTAGTTATTTGTCACATCAAACCTCTGTTCTCCAAAAGATCTTTTGGTCAACAAATACTTTAAGCATCACCACAACATTGGAAACAAGTCAGGAGAGGCGTATGCTCATTAAGAGCTTGAATAAGTCATTTACTGTCTTTACATGTTCCAGTTTACTCAACTGATAGTAGCTACTTTACCTCTGAGTAATGGCATAAGAATAAAATAATATAGATTAACAAATTTTGAAAAACATGTTTAAAGCAGCATAAAAACGTAGGTTGTAATATTGTTTCAGTGGTCCCCACCAATTCTCCCCTACAAAATTATACTCAGAATTCTGAGCAAGAGCCCTTCTCCCAAGCCCCCTCTCTCTCTGTGGTCATGGTTTATGGTCTTGCTTACCTCCACCAGTCTTACTTTCTGATCTCTAAACTTGTCATTTATCAAGATAGCTGATGGTAGGATATATGACCAGGAAAAGCAAGAGCTCTGCATATTTTACCTTTTTAGATTACTTCAGGTTTCAAAATCTCTGACTAGATAAGTTTGTACTAGGATAGAGTGAATATTGGACATAATTAGCTCACTATGTGGTCACATAGAAAGCCTTAGAGTGAGACAAAACTTCAAATAACTTTGTGAAAGGATGGAAAGCAAAAGGGGATATAACATTTTTATGTCTGCTGTGTTCCAGGCATTATGCTTGAAATCAACCCTGCTCCCTGAGAACGCTATGCCTGGATTCATGTTATTTTGACTCTTTTCACACTAGCTATCAACATATTTCAGATTCACGGTCTACCTAATGGCTATAAGCAGTCATTCAAGTATTTATTGAGTGCCTACTCTTTGCCAGACCTTGTTTTACAGCAAAACAAAAATCTCTGCTTTTATGGCACTTACATTCTGGTAGGGAGAACAGATGATAAGATAAATTATATAGCATATCAGAAGGTGGTAAAGTGTTAAGGAGAAAAAGCAAAAGCATTGGTGGGTGGGGGAGTAGTGGTAGAAAGTGCAGCATAGGAGGTGAGAGAGCAGGCCATGCACATACCTAGGGGAGAGTGTTTCAGTCAGAAGGAACAGCAAGTGCAAAGGTCCTGAGGCAGGAGTATATTATTAAAGAGTAGCAAGATCAGAGTGGCTGGAGAGAGTAAGTGAGGGAGAAGGAATAGTGGGAAAGCAGAAATAACAGAGACCAGATTACTCAAGGCCTTGTAGGCCCTTACTACTCAAAGCATAGTTTATGGACCTGTAGCATCAGCCTTGCCTGGGAACTTCTTAGTAATGCAGAATCTCAAGCCCCACCTCAGACCTCCTGAATCAGAATCTTCCAAATAATGTGCATGCACTTTGAAGTTTGAGAAACACATTGCAATATGTTTAAACAGGAGTGACATCAATTCATTTAATAAGGGTCACTCTGGCTGGCTGCTATATTGAACAGAGACATGATGAGGGCAAGGGTGGAAGCAGAAGGACCAATTAGAAGGCTATTGAAATAATCTTGATGAGAGATGATGGTATCTTGGACCAGGATGGTAGAAGTGGAGTGGTAAGAAATTATTGGATTCAAGACCTGTTTTTCACTCACTAGGGAGGTGGGACACCAGTGGTGGGGCCCTAGCCCACCGCCCTCAGCAGTGTGTGGCCCTGAGAATGGGTGTCATGGCTGCGGCTTCCTGCCTGGGCAGTCAGCACTCACAGAATAGAACCATGGTTTTTAAAAGCCGGTTATCTTCCGAGGCCTCGTCATCAGGAAGCTACCTGAGGCCCTGATTGGAGAGCGGCAGTGGAGAGCGTATTAGTAGTAGTGCCTCTTCCCTGTTGGTTGCCCGCCTGGGCCCAGTGAGGCACACAGTCTGGGCACCTAGGTGCATGAGCAGCCTGGGAACATGGTAATATACTCCTGCCTCAGGGCCTTTGCACTTGCTGTTCCTTCTGACTGAAACACTGTAGAGGCTGTAGAGCAAGCTTCTTGCCCACTGTGAGTGAACACTGGCCTAGGCCAGATGCAGGAGATAGCGGGGAGAAGGCCCGGCTGCTCTGTTAAAATAGGGAGCTGGTTGTTTAAAGGTGGAATGGAGCAGCGAGCAGATAAAAAGCCGTGGACACAGGCTGTGTCCCAGCCACTGAACATCCATTCTGCTCCATATATAATGGAACATCACTCGGCCACAAAAAAGAATGAAATGTCACCGTTTGCCACCACATGGATGGACTTAGAGCAGTGGTTCTCAACCTTCCTAATGCCGCGACCCTTTAATATGCCGGGTACTCATATGTGGGCGTATCTGCATGTGGGCGGACCCACCTGGAGACGGATAGAGGAGCTGTGTCTCAGTTCCTAAGACCATCGAAAATATGTGTTTTCTGATGGTCTTAGGCGACCCCTATGAAAGGGTTGTTCGACCCCCAAAGGGTCGCGACCCACAGGTTGAGAACCGCTGATCTAGAGGGTATTATGCTCAGTAACATGTCACTCAGAGAAAGACAAATACCATATGGCCTCACCTATATTTGGAATCTGAAGAACAAAGTTGAAGCAACAGAAAAGGTGGCATGGGGATCTGAAATGAGTGGTCCCCAGTGGGGGGGACACCCTGAGGTCTGCACAAACCTACTGCACCCCAGTGAGGTTCACACTCAGTAAGGGGCAGCGGGGCTGTGACAGGACCGCCCTGCTGGGCTTCTAGTCAGAGAAGAATGGTGCTGAGCCCGAGGAGCCTGCCCGAGCCCAGGGGTGACCTATTCTCAAGGAGCCAAGACAGTTAGCCACAGACTTTATCTGCAGATGTGGCTCAGAACTCACTAAAAATGTAATCATGAAAGGACGAGAGCTATGACCACGGTGACCCGGAGGACCTGGTCAGTCCCCGGAACATGTGGTGACTCACGGTGACTCGGGGCGCTGCCAGTCTACCTCGGCGTGGGCAGCCGCTCTCAGGTGCCTCTGCAGGTTACTGACCCTGCCCAGGGCTGCCCGCACTGGCTGCCCTCCCAGCTCAGCGGCTCAGCCCCCACTCCCCACAGTGCCCTGCTCGGAAACAGCGCTCCCTCAGGCACAGTGCCCCCACCCCCAGGGGACAATGCAGGGCGGGACCCAGGGACCCGAGTCCCAGCGCAGCCCCTGGCCCGGAAGGGCCCCGAAGCCCTGGCTCACTCTTTGCGCGCCGCCCCTGAGAGTGCTCAGTGCCCTGCCCACCCGACCCCACTGTCGGCGCCCACTCACCGGTTTGCTGGGCCGCGCAGTCGCTGTGGGGCAGCTCAGGACTTCGAGGAAGCGGCGGGGCTCTAGACTCCCACGCTGAGCTGGGCCTGTGTACTCAGGTTACCA